CATATAGCTGGACTGATAGTGGATCGGGCTGCACGCCGCAGCGTATGTTACTATGATATTGCGCTTGGGCTGTAGGAGCCCCTCCGGAGTCTGAACCCCCACAGTGAGCGCGGGTACCCAAATGGATCGGGCTACGCGTCGTAGCGGTCATGTGCATTTGCATTGCATTCATGCATCGAACCTTATCTGCTCTATCTGTTAATACTTATTGATGTTACACTGTTAAATGTGAAGAAATACTGTTGTAGCTTTACTTTGTCGTATATTGGGATTTCTTACTTTCAATGTCATTATACATGTCTATTACCGCTAAGTTGGAAGTACTCACTTTACTCCCTGCACCATGGGTGCAGATCTAGGTACCTCAGGGGCTAGTTGAGCTTATTGCTATTCTTCAGAGTTTTCATTCGGAGTTGTCGAGGTAGCTGCCTGGCGTCCGCAGGACCCGACTCCTCCCCCTAGTTCATGTTATTTGATTATCCGCGTACTTCAGACTATGTAGTATTACAATATTATTATGCTATTCTGGTAGAGGCTCTAGACTCATGACCCCCAGATCTTTGGGAGGTTGCTCTGTATTGTTGATATTCGGGGTATTTTATATCTATCAGCTATATTTTGGTTTCTTCGCTGTTAATGATTTTTAAATAAATGGTTTTGAGCTCTACGCTCGGGTTGAGAGTATAATTGGTCTGGCTTGCCTAGCAGTTGTGTTGGGCGCCATCACGACCGGGTTTGGGGTCGTGACATGCGGTTATGACAGCAACCAGACCCTTCAGCCTTCTTAAAATTCCATTTTTGATCCGTTAACCACCCGGAATCCACCCGAGGCCCCCCGGGATCCCAACCAATCATACCAACCAATCCCAAAACACATTACGGACTTGCTCGAGGCCTCAAATCATATCAAACAACGCTAAGACCATGAATTACCCCCCGATTCAAGCTTTATGAACTTTGAACTTTCCAACTTCTACTCTCGATGCTTAAACCTATCAAATCACGTCCGATTGACCTCAAATCTTGCACACAAGTCATATTTGACATTACGGACCTACTCCAACTTCCGGAATCAGATTCCGACCCCGATATCAAAAAGTCCACTTCCGGTCAAACTTCTTAAAAACCTCCAAATTCCTATCTTTAGCCAAATGGCTCCAAAATGACCTATGGACCTCCGAATTTACTTCCGATCGCGCCCCCAACTCCAGAATCACCATAAGGGGCTATTCATAGTCTCGGAATCCCAAACGGACATCGATAACACTGAAATGCTCTTCAAGCCAAACTTGTAGAATTTCTTCTAAAATGCTAACTTCCACAATAGGCGCCAAAACGCTCCCGGGTTATCCAAAACCCGAACCGGGCATACGCCCAAGTCCGAAATCATCATACGAACCTGCTGGAACCTTCAGATCCCGATTCTGAGGTCGTTTACTCAAAATTCCAATCCTAGTTCATTCTTTCAACTTTAAGCTTTTGAAATGAGAATTCTCTTCCTAAATCAACTCTGAACTTCCCGGAACTTAATTCCGACCACGCGCACAAGTCGTAATGCCAGAAATGAAGCTGTTCATGGCCTTCGATTGCTGAACGGAGCACTAGGACTCAAAACGACCGGTCGGGTCGTTACATTATAAGAAAATTCAATAGATTTGAAACATTATAAAAGAACTTATATATTAATTTTAGACTAATTCAAAGTTATATTTTAAAATAAAATGTGATATATATATATATTCCCGATAGAAAACTATCAAATATAAGAAAAGTATCATACTTCATTTTGAATTTTTAATTGAATAGAAAATTGAAAATCTATTTATTTTGAGTATAGGTAAAAAAATTATGTATAAAGAGGAAAATAGAGATAGCGCGAGGATACTTATATTTTTAAATTTATTAAAAATAAATAAATAAAATTATTAAATTGTAGTAAAAAATATTATTAATAGATTTAAATGATGAAAGAGATCTGATTAAGTGGATAATAGTGTAAAAATACATTAAATTTCAAGAATAACTTTTCTTTTTTACATTTATTGATGATTATTAAAAGGGTAATAAACAAGATTAATAAAAGATCACATTATAGTATAAAAATATTAAGTAATAAATAATGCATCTACTATAAGCAAGGAACATAAAAGAGAAAAAAATTATGTCTAAAATTGTAGAAGGATAAGATATTTGAANATATATATATATATATATATATATATATATATATATATATATATATATATATATATATATATATATATATATATATATATATATATATATATATAATCCTAATATTATTTTTATATTTTTTGTTATTAAATTATGAGTTCTAAATATTAACTAAAATTTTTTATATGAGATATTTAATTAATATATTTAATTTTACTCTATCACTTGAACTTTTTTAGGAATATTCCTTTATGACTTTTTATTTATTATGATTTCTGTTATGTCTATATTACCATATATGCATAATTTTTCTCTATCATAATTTTAGTTATATGTCTTATATTTTTTTATACTATCATTGAAATATTTATATATTATTCTTTCCTTTTGTTCCTTTATTATCTAATTATATTATCCATTACTTAGTATTATTGAATTATCATATAAATTTTTAATAACTTACCATTTTAATATAATACAATGAATATAGTTTTCTATTACTCCTGAAATTTAACTTGACTTTATCTTGTATGACTATTTCTCAAAATTAATTCATTGTTTAAATTTATTTATTATTTTTATTTTATCTTTTAAAGCAATTCAACGTATAAATTTTCTCACACTATATCCATCCCCCTCTTTCTAATATTTAATCTAATTAAGTGGTAGTTTCATCATCTTATTTCTGGCTCCAGAAAAAATAGTGTATTATCCTTGAGCATATGTTTGAAGAATCAAAGGATAAGTAGAGATCATCTCACTTGATAGTATTGATCTTGTTGCAATTTTAATTGTATGATGCTGTCCTTTCTTGACTCTGCAGTATAAAATAGAAAAAATTTAGAAGAAAACTTAAATATTAATTTTATCAAGTAAAGCATCGTAATAAATTATGAAAACTTTGCATAATGCAAGCAATTAACTTATATATTTTTATAAACGAAAAAAGTTAACCTCTAGCGTAAAAATGTTTCGAAAAGCCCCAAGCATTCTTGTACAGTAACTCTTATGTACAACTACCTCTGCAATTTCCTTGAATACTTTCATAATTTTCTCAACCTATACAAAATAGATGTTATTTTCTACTAAAATCATTCTAAAATTAAATGTGGTATATGTATTCCCTCTCATAATAATTTATTGTCTGACTTTCATCTTTCACAATCATATTTACTTTTCCTACTTGAACTAATTTTCTCTACACCTAAATACTACTTGAAGAGAATAATACTATCCAATACTTTATATGATTGTAAATATAGATGGACTACCTCATTAAATTAAACAGCAAAGGCCGTGAATCAGTCTCCTCCAATTTTGGTCTAGGTATAACATTGTTATTATCTTGAGTTGCTTTGCCACTTGATTTCCACAACCTCATTATCAGAAAATTATCATGAAGCAGAATATGCATTTATGTTGTAAAAACATAACATGCTTCTCACTGCATAAACTCCAGAAAATGAATCGAGCAGTATGATATAAATACCTTCTCATCTGCAGTAATATCTCCAATTAAAATAGATTATCTGTCTTTTCGCGATCTGGAACCATCCATATTCCATAATCACACGACACGAACCTTTATATTCCATAGCATCTTTGTATCGGGTATATCATTGATGATGTCAGTTTTCGTATACATTTCTTTGAAGGAAGTAATGGCTTCAACCTAATTTTTTTTCTATATGATGTATACTTTAAAGGTTGAAGTTATAATGTATTATAGGGTTATATTCCAAAAATATTGTAGTATTCTTGATAGTATTTATATAGTAGCGGACTTTTTATTAGGGTCTATAGTCTATCGTTAAGGGTGTCTTCAATCATTAAAGACCTTTCCTTTGGAAGAGAACTTTTGAATAAATTCAAAGCTTGATTGTTTTTTATTTTGGAATGACTCTTGGTCACATTATTCTTTTTCAAATATGCCTCGTGATTATTGCATGATTATTCACTTTCCAACTATATTTCTTGATCATCCCTGTCGTGCATCTTTGATTTCCTCACTTTGAAGGAAATTATGCATATTCTTTGTCATATAATTTTATTCCTTATATGGTAATATTTGAACTGCAAATATTTTAAATAACACGTTGTAATATACAGTTTTAATCTCAATATTAAATTTAAAAAGTTAAAAAAAACGATTGTGTTTACGGTACTAAGACTATAAATCAAGATATTGCTTATATTCACAAAGCTCCAAAACTCATGATTATTCTAATACTAAATTTAAGTTCTCCCTTTTTTCCCCCTTTTTAGCGCGTCTCATCCCTAGATTTATCTTTGATATCTTACCATGATTAATTATCTAAAAAATCGTATTGGACATTATTAAAAGAATGTCAATTAATAATTTCTTTAAAAAATTAGTAGAAATAGAATCTAACAAATAGATTATCTAATAGTGCCAAGTGGCTCGTTCTGAATATGCCACTTGGCTTAATATTATGCCAAACTATTCTCCTTTTAATATAATATAGATTTCTATGATCTATTATATTCCTCCTCCATTGACCCAGAGGCGGACCCAAGATTTAAGCCTTACGGGGGCACCATTGTTTTTAGTTTGCCAATCACCAACAATAAAGTTCGGGTGTAACTCTTTGAAATGACTATGATAATTTATCATCAAAATAAAAACATCAATATTATCAAATACCATTAACTTGATACTAATATAACAAAAGTATATTGTCCACTCATAGTTGAACTCGACGCGTTTTTATATTTTGAAAACGGTCAATAATAGCATAATTGCTTATATTTACAAACACTTCCTTCTCAAAGTAACAAACTAAACAATCATTTAAAAATACATCACCAATACTACTACGCAATTCATCTTTGATGTACTTCATAGATGAGAATGCTCTTTCCACCGTCGCAGTTGCGACAGGTAAAATTAAAGTCAACTTCACAAGCAAATGAACAAGTGAATAAGTCTCCACAAGATTTGTCTCAACCAATGCTTTCGCTAAATCACCAATTCCTTTCAAATCAGAGAACCTAGGGTCACCATGTTGCATATGCCATATGAAAGTGTCAAGTTGGCGACTAAGATCTCGAAGCTTCAATTCACCAAACTCATCGGGATAATGCTTGGCCAATGTCATTATTCTTTCCTTATCAAATTAGCAAATGAGTTAGCCGGATTCAAGCTAGCCATACCAAGAAGCAGGTTACTACTCACAACATCAAAACGACTATTAAGCTCCAGAAGTTGCAAATCAATCACGGCATAAAAAAGCTCAACACGTAAGTGATGTGAATAAGTAACACTAGAAGGCCTACGCTTCGACTTTCCAGGAATATAGAATTCTTCCATCTTGGGCACCAAAATATCATGTTTTGCACAAAATAAATATACTTTATCCATCAATGGTTCCCATCCTTTATCTCTCATTTCTTGCAACCTTTCCTTTGTGATATCAAGAAATACCATGGCATTGACAATATCTTGATCTTTCTTCTGTAATGCTTTGCTCAACTCGTTTGACATTATCAACACTTTCAACATTAAGTGAAGCAAGAAAACAAATTCAAATGCTTTACTTTTACTAGAAAAAGCTTCTGCTTGCAACCTATCATTAACATCACCTTCACATTCAATCACCCCAAAGTCCAAGAGAAACCTTGCAACATCAATTGAGGCATTTAAACGAATTCGATATTCAGTTTTTTATTGATCGGATTGCTTTTCAAAAGCAGCTTGAATTGATTGAGATTGATTTGACAAGGCTAACATATTGTTGAAGCACTTATGGTGGAGATTACTTACTTCACCAACATGTAGATCAAATCTTTCGGTTGCTTTATTCTAAGCTTTAAAGCCGATTTTTGTGAAAGAGTCACCTGTGCTTCCATTAACGTAATCATTTTTGAATAAATAACAACATAAACAAAATGCGACATCTTTCTTCACACTATACTCTAACCATCTAGAATACGAACCTTTAAACCAACCCGAACTAAATTGGCGCATTTTCTTCCCAAATAAAGTTTTAGGAAATTTGTGATCTGGTTGGAGGGCCCTCTTTGGATGTAGTGTCTTCTCACTTCATACCGTATTCTAGGGTTATATCTATCAATAGGTATTCTCTCTTCGGGGTCGGTATTAAGTGATTTCACATCAAACTCTTCTACAAGATGGGAGGAATTGTCTCTAAAACTAGAACTTGGTTGAGGAGAATTAAACCTCGTCAAAAATATGTCCATCTCAATTCACATCAAGAGAACTTCCTACAAAGCAACAATGCCAAGCAAAAAAATATTTTTAATATGATTAATCACACTCCTTATTTTATTATAAGTCATAACTATATTATTATTATTTTATTAAAGATAGAAGAATCACTTACATTTCTGAAAGATATCCTTGAAATCCAAATACAATTTGGTCTCACATCATCCACTTCACTGAAATAATATTTCAAATAGCATTAGCACAAATCTTCAAATACCTACGACATTAATTTATTAAGATAAAAAATTAACACACCAACTAGGTTAAGTCCGCTCAAACAATGAATTCAAAAACTAAAAGAAGTACACCTTTTGGGGCCTTAAAATTTTTGGGGCCTAAATCAAAGGCTTTACTAGCCTCAACAAAATCAAGAAAAATTACAGAAAATTCAGAGATTCAATCAAAATAGAATAGCCAAAAGTGAGAACAAGACGCAAATAAGAGGCAAGCAAAACCTTCTAGTTAAGCCCCTTCTTAATCGTATTTTAAAAGGGAGTTTTTTAAACCCTAAATTCGAAACTGAAATTTACCATTAGAAAAGTGGAAACAAGATGGAGAATTCCAAGTATAGTTTTCAAAATCTTACCCATAAAAAGATTCGACAGCTGCTTGATCCCTGAAGAAAGAAACGTGTGATGGTGAAGGATGAAATTTGTTTTGGGTTTAGAAGAAAGAACTGATGTGTTGGACCTAAGTTTCGAACCCAAGTCTTGAAGAAGGCAGCTGCTCCAACAAACCAACTCTTTTAGCCAGTCTTTGTGATTAAGGGTGCCGCACAATATATTTATAGGGGTCCTCCCTGTATTAACTTATATATATAGAATATATATACAATATTTTTACCGAGGTCAACGGGTGCCCGTGACCCCCCACCCCGTAGCGTAGGTCCACCCCTGCATTGACCCCCCCTCCCCCCAACCAAACAAAAAAAAAATGAAAAAAAAAAATGAAAAGTAGCTCAAAACCTAAAAGAAGAAGACAACAGTAAAACCCATTGATCAGTAGAGACAGATCCTAAAGTGTTGCGTGAGACAAATATGGTACGTGGAAGATTTAGATGGGAATCCAACTCGAAACAGGTAGGGAAAGATAACATTTAATAGTATAAAAAAGAATTGCAAATCAAGAATGATAGGCTGTTTGACTATCTTCCACATACATAGAAACCATGGATAAGATTAATTATACGAATGGGACAAGCTAGTTGTTTCATGACAACGATGATCATATGGCTTTTGTTCCTTCATGTTTGTTCTTGATCTCTTCTTTAATTTCTCCTCACAAAAAGGAAAAGAAAAAAAAGACAAAATATTTAAATACGTAATAATTGGAATTTATTTAATTATGGATTTGCAAACCATACATAATATTGCAGTTGCATATTCTGCTGGTTTATTTAGGTTTCACTAGACGTACGTACCTCTAATTAGTTAAATCATGTCATTAACATACACAAGAAGAAATGCAGATAATTCGGATAGCAGTGAAGAACTAACTTCTGGTATTCATTATGTTAATACATGATATTGACACTGGAGTCTTCCATTACATGATAGCGATTTGGCCACAAATGATTCATTACATGTTAGGTATATTAACTTTTCAGAACTAAGAAACTGGAGTCTTCCATTACATGCATGATATAGACACTGGCAGGTATACTATATCTTTTTGTTTCTTAATGTGTATTAATTAATTCCATTGCCTACGAATTATATCAAAATAAAGTATGATTATTAAGTCAAGCTAAAGGAATCATTCCCCATTCCAACCAAAAATATCTTACTTATAGGATCTCATATCTAGTTCAACATATATCTAGGTTAAAAATGTCATGAATTACTACTACACATTTCTTCCATAAAAAAGAATTCTTCATACGGCAGACCAATTAATGTACTTAATAGTTGTTTAACCAGAAAATAGAAATTTCGGTCAAAGCTAAATTTTAGAAGAACTCGGGTTACTGATAATCAAATTTGGAACAAATAAGAAGAATTGATTTAAACGATAGCTGAGTAAAAGAAAGCAAAGTAAATCAGTGTATTCCAATAATATACTGTGTCCTTACAAATGTTATTTCTCTCCTTTTATAGCTATCTCTAAGTAATACGTTTCTTTCCTCTCATAATAGAGTCATTATGAGCAAATAATGACATTTAATGTAACGTTATAATTGGCAATCGTAACTGTTTCGTGAAGATTCTATAACGTTTTCCTTCATTGATGCTCATTAATTACGGATAATACGTATCTATACTTTTTGCTATCTAGGTTAATTCCTTTATTGCCTCTTCAAATTACCAGGAGGTCTGAGTACTCGTTCCTTCCTGTTTTCTTGAATCTCTGCCCGTGCCTGTTAAAGCTCGTGTCTCTTCAGCTATCCTTTGCCAGCTGTCATTCTTTTATTGATCCACGTGTCTTGACATATCATGACATAATTAATTCAATATGTTAACTTGATTTTTCCCAATACAGATAGTCCCCCCACATGCCATTTATTCAACAATTGAATATTTGGGAAGTGGATCTCATTAAAGCGGGAATTTTTGCCGCCATTATACCTTCTCCAAAACTGACGCTTCGCATGTCACTTACATTTAATGCTCGTGGAATGTAGCGCCTTTTGATTGGGCTGCAACTCTTCGACGTCTTTTAAGGCTTTTTGCGGCTACATCAATCACGAAGTGACAGTTTTCATTATGACGTTTCCATCACTACCTTGGTTGCTTCTGAGTATAAATATATCCTTTGTTTCTTCTTTCATAAAAAAGTTTTCCATCTTTGACGTATTCAATCTTCCTTTCTTCTCCGTATAGCTATGTCTTCTTCGAACCCTGATCCTCATAAAGTTCATATTGTAGATGAACATCCTCTTGCCCCAACTAGGAGCAGGAGAGGAGGTAGGTTACGTAGTTTAGGATCAACGTCCATTCGAGGTTCGCCTTCATCTTTACCTAGTTCCACTCCTCCTTCTTCTTCTAGAACTAGGGGTTCTCTTCCACATAGATCTTCCACCAGAAGTAGGGATTCTAATGAACCAGTTCGTGAACCAACAGTAGACGAAATTGTCCCCTCTGAACTTTCTTTTTACACTGATAAAGAATCGATTAGGAATCAGGTTTCTTCTATGTCTTCTCTTGATCGTGCTGATGTTTACCCTTCTCAGATTACTGAAGGTTTAATCTCTGTTGTCCGTAGAGATTGCCATTGGAAATTTGACTTCCCAATCGTTATTCCTAATGCAAATCAAAGGATCACATCCTACATGACTGGCTTTTCTTTCGTGTATACATATCCCTTTACACTGGATTTTAGACCCCCCATTGATCCTGTTATCATCGAGTTCTGTTGTTTTTTCAATGTTTGTTTTGGACAAATTGGCTCCATTGTGTGGAAGGCTGTTGCTTGTCTAAGGTACTTAGCTAACTTGGCTAAATTGCATTTTACCTTTTTTCATCTGATCCACCTCTACTCCCCTAAGCTGTTCAGACATGGAATCTTTACTTTGGTGGCGAGGAGTAAGAGGGTTTTAGTCAGCCCTGAGGATGACAAGGACCGTGGCTGGTATGCCAAATTTGTTGTTGCTCCTACTGTAGGGTTAGTAAGTGAATAAAATGTACCATTCCCTGAAAAGTGGAATTTTGCATGTAAGTTTACTTTTACAACTTTCTCTCTTCTCTTTTTCCCCCTTTTTTGTTTTGAAAGGGTTTGTTTTTCCCGTGACTGTTTAACTTTCTCTTTTTTCAGCAACCATGGGAACTGTTGAAGAGATTCCCAATTTTCGTGGTTGGGTAGAGAAATTGTTGACTGTTGCTCTGATGGAGGTTAGATCTTGGAAATACCTTTCAATCAGGTTTGGTTGGAAGGTTAAAACTCATGGTAAATACTTTACCTCTTTTTTTTTCCATTTTCTTTCATTCTTCATTTAGAATGTATTTGACTCTTCTTTTTATCAGGGTTTCCTATTCGTGGTGTAAGTGCTAAATCGATCGCAGCTTCCAGACTTTCTTTGGCAATAGATCAGGAGATAATCCTGAGTTCTTCATTGAAAAGGAAAGCTGACAAATCCTAAGATTCTGAAGAGGAAGAGGAACGGGATGGGAGTTCCTTGGTTAAAAGGCCGCGAGTTAGAAGGCGCGTTATTTCAGATGATGAAGTACTCCTCCCCGTTCTGTTCCCGTGACCGAGCCTGTTAAAGCCACCTTAGTGAGTTCTGACGATAATACTCCTATGGCAGCTCGTGACTCTGATGAACAACTTTTTCACGTGGGTTTGATAGTGAAAGTTTTGATTTGGTGTCTGATGAAGTACCTCTTGCCTCCTTCCCCGTGTCTGTCTTAGTGGAATGCTCTTTACTTGTTTCTACTGCTGCTGTCTCTACCCGCCTCAAGCTATTATGACTTCCTCGACAGTCCCCACTACTAATATTTCTCGCACTGAAGTTGGTTCTTCAAGTGGAAGTAGAGTGATGAACCATATTACCATTGAAGTCCCTGGCGATGGTAGTCTTTTGAAAAAGTTAGGTCGGCTGACGTATGGTTGAAACCCTTGATTGGTCCGGTTGAGAAGTCCAAACTAGAAAGTCATAGTTCTTTGACTTGGATGAATGATATCGTGCAGTTATCACTAAAGGTATTAATTTCTTTTCATGCTTTATACATTCTCCTTTTACTAAGATTCTTACCCCTCTTTTTAGATCAATCTCATCGGTACGGAGATGATGAAAAGGGTTTCCCATACAGAGCAATTAATGCATGACTACCAAATTGAGGCAGACAATTGGAAAGAGCAATATGAAAGTCTTCAGCTTGAGATGGAAGTTTAAGAAGAAAGCAAATGTACCTTAGAGCAGCAGTTGAGAGTCATGGCATCGGAATTGGCAGTTGAAAAAGCTTTTTCGAATCAAGCGGGCAAGGATAAGAATCTCATTGAATCTTCTTTTGCTGAACAACTCTCCAAAGCTACTTAAGAGATCAGAGGCCTTAAAGCTTTGCTAAATGAGAAAGAAGTTTATGCTGGTGAGCTTGTTCAAACACTCATGCAGGCGCAAGAAGATCTCCGAGTTTCTTCTGACAAGGTTAAGTTTTTGGAGAGTTCACTTGCCCCTTTGCAATCTTCTTATGATGCTGCTTTGGCTTAGAAGGAGGAGCTCAAGAGTGAAATTGATCAATGGGTAAGAGACTACGAGGCTCTTGAGGACAAAGCTGCTGTTGAAATGAGTTGGGCTATTTTGAACACGTGCCATGATACCCTTATGGAAGCTAGCCAAGAGGGTTTTAACTTGAATGCTGAGTTAGCTAAGATAAAAGAAACCATTGAGAAAACTCAGCAAGGCCAAAGTTTTTCTTCTCCCATGGCCGATACTCCCGAGCACGTTGAAGCCAATCCTGGTGCGGTGGATGTCCCAGCTCCTTCAGACCAAATCGAGCCTTCTGTTGCTGATGATGCCGTTTTAAACTCTTCTTCTGCTCCACAGTGAAAGTTTACTTATGAAGTTTGACTTTTTTTTCTTTTTGGCGGAATATGTGGTACTACCCCTGGTTCCGTTTTGGGGGTTATGTTTTTGGTGATAGCAAGTCCCAGGTCTTTTCGGGGCTTTTTGTAAAAATGACAATCAGTTTATGACTAAGTTCATACTTAGTTTAAACTTAATATTATAAAGTTTCAGTTTCAACTCAATTCTCTCGAGTTTCTGTTTTACTCTTTTTGCCTTGTTTTTTTATATGTCCAAGGTCTTGCTTTTTAATTCG